TTCTTTAACATATATTTTGCTCTCGACTTTACTTTACTTTGTTTCGTTAAAATTTCTCTTTTAACTTTTGTTTCACTAATTTTTTTCTAAATTTTTTTTATTTATTTCTTTAAAATTTATCTTCCTTATTTACATTTCTTAAACTTTATTTTCATCTAAATCTTTGTTTATTTACATTTCTTAAACTTTATTTTCATCTAAATCTTTGTTTATTTACATTTCTTAAACTTTATTTTCAGGAATGATCCCGATTCCTTTATTTTTATTAGATGAACATCCTCACTCACCTACACCAACATATCATATCTACGTAGAACAGCTTTTTCAAAACAATGAGCCCTAAAAGTTCAAACTAAGCGAACTTTGCAAAAACAAAACCTAAAAGAAAAAAGCTTAGACTAAATTTGTAGGATTTCTCATAAAAGAGGCGAAAGAATAGTTCGCTCTGTGCTCAATGCCCGGCTCCGTGGCTTTACCATTGCAAGAAGTTATGCTTTTATACTTCCAATTGGTGTCCCACTTTCACGACTTGGCCGATGTGGGAACTTTTAATAATCTAATTCTGGCTTATGCCTTAATGGGCTATGGCCCAAAACCAATTCCACCTGTCTTTTTCCCCCCTTTTCACAACTATTTCAACATGGTACAATTAATCAATCCAAAAATTTCCCAAAAAACATACAAGAGCTTCATTAAGGGTGCCATCAACTAGTCAAATCGACTGTCCTAATACCTAATACCAACGTAAACCAATCGACCATCTAATTTGGATTATAAAAAAAATTAATTGACACTTTTTATTCTTTTTTTTTAGTACAACATGTGGAGGTGGAGATTCGAACTCATGACCATTTTGTCAAAGATAGGTGCCTTAACCATTTGAATTATGCTCGGGTTGGCCCTTCCCTCCCTCTTTACTTCAATTCTTTCCACGAAAAATATCTGGTTCTTTAATATGTTCAACCTCCGACTTCTATAGAAAATTGACCGAATGAATTCATGAACGGTCACTCGATTTGTAAAAATCTAAAAACAATATGTTTCTAACTAATCAAAACCAAATGTCGGTGATTGGTGTCGGTTTTGTGGTCAAACCGATATCAACCGACTAATTTGCACCCATATGATTTATTTACCGTAAATATGAATGATTTAAATATATTTTCTAGTCTAGAGTTTATTTTAATTAGGACATGTTCTTTAATATTTTGCTATCCAACTTGATTTAAATTTTTCGTGTGTTACTAATGTAAAACCTTTAAAGATAAAGAATAGTTGTCGAGCATAGCTTAGTGTTGTCACATTTTAATATTTAATTAAATATGCGTTTTATTTTTATATTTAATTTAAGAGTTTCAACTTGGAGGGTTTTATCAAATTATATATGCAAACTCATTTGCTATTTATTTGAAGAGATGTTAAGGATTTATTTACTTAATTTTATGTTAAGTTACTACTTCTACATTTCCTATAAATACCTCTCTTTCTATACTCTCAAAACACACCAACACAACCTACAATTCATACTCTCTTATCCATTTTCTACTTTTCTCTTTTAAGAGCGATTGGCCAAAAGAGGGGTGTTATTTGTTGTGGAGGTTTGAGCTCAACCTCTAGTAATTATAAGTGATATGTTTTCTCATATATACGTTGAGCACTAATGTACAACCAATTTGAAGATTCTAAGTCAAAGCGATAATAGCTCAGCGGTAATTGATATATATCTCCAACCAAGAGGTTGTAAGTTTGATCACCTCACATGTTATACTAAAAAAAATTGAAGATTCTAATGATCAAATTCATGACATGAAGAAGTTTTTTTAACTACAATAAATGCCTTTATCTTTGAGTTATAATTGTGCCATATGAATGAGGTTGGAGTATCTTAATAGTCAAATTAGTGATACCAAGGTAGGAACAAAGTGGAAATTCTTAATCACAAGAGAGAAATAATATAACATAAATATTTATTTATTTATTTTATTTAATGTTTTGTGTAATTATTGTTTAATTATAATGGGAATAATACTTGAGTACCACATTATATTGAATTCAAAAAAGTAATATTAAACGATAGATAGTTGGAAGAAAATATCGTGATGAAGCAATAAAAGAGTTCTATATATACTCAACTTGGGCATGGTTAAATTGTTGGTATATCAATCAGACAACAAATAATGAATGATTAAATCCCGATAGGAATCAAGTCACTTAAAAATTTCAAATATTCAAAAATTGCCAATTTAAATGGAGAAATTGTCCATAAAAAAGTGTATTAATGTTTTTTGTAATCAAAATATTTTTATGAATACATGTAATAGATATAAAATATTTTCATGAATGTATAATATATGTACAAGTCTTAAATTAAAGTATTAAATTATCAATGTGAGCATAGTTCAACTAGTCTAGATAATTTTCTTAAAAGAAAAAAGCCTAAATATTGTTAACATTGACATAACTCAACGACTAAGAATGATAATTTTATACATTCTATTTAAGTTCAAATGTTCAGATTTCAACTCCCACATTTGTTATACTGGACAAAAATCAAGACATTAGTTACATCTCTAAAATCTGACAACAAATATTTAGAAGACGTAGGACCATATCGAAGATTAATAAAAAAGATGCATTCATAAATTTAGATTTAACAAGTTTAAATTCATTGTATTCAATTACCCTATCAACTTCTCACTCCATGCGAAATTGAACTATTTGATATTGAAATGCTACTAAAATAAAATGAAAAGTGTGTGTAAAGAAAATACGTGGAAAGCATAGGAGAAATAGTTGTGATTTGTGAGAGGCTATTTAGGACTTTGAAAGATCAACTTCGTCTAGCTTAGTACAACAATCAAAAGAAAATAAATATCTCAAGTTTATTTTTTCAAGATAATCGTAGTAGGAGCAAGAAGATTTGCCTTATGAACTATGGTTGGAGCAAAGTTGTGTCTTTTTGTTGAAGCATTTGTCATAGGCATAAATCAACGTAAAAATATATAGATGTAAATTATGAGTAACGGTTTTTCCCATTCATAAGTTATGGTGCAGAGAATGAACATGATCAGGTAAGTCATAATGTCTATATATTTGAAGTTAATTCAGTGGTTTTTTACCATCTTAAACTTTTCATGTATATTTCTCACTCAAACTTAAGTCATTCATACATGTTCAAACTATATTTGAGCCTAAAACATAAACTAAACAATAAATAATATTTTGGATCTAGACGTGAATTCAAAATATTGGATATATTCTTACCAACTCTTTGGAGAATTTTTGTGGTTTTTCGTGGAAAACCACTTCACGAAACACGATAGACAACAAATTCAATAACATATTTGGAACAAACTTGGCTTTGAGCATGTGCTTTAATGTATTTAAAAACATAATTTAACGGCTTTCATTGACTCATCAACAATATTACTAATTAACTTTACGACTCGAGGAAATGGAGAGACAAAGCTCCATAAAAAATAGCTTGAAGGCAAGGTCTTTTTGCCTCACAAACAACCAAACGGAACAAAAAAAGGAGGAACTTTCACGTCAACAATATCCAGTTAGTTTAATGATAGACAACCCTCCATCAAAGGTAACTTGAAGGCAAAGTCTTTTTGCAACTTACAAGACACAAACGACCAAACAAAATAAAGATGAGGAAGAATAATTGATAATGGAAGAGAAACTCGACCCGTATACACAATTAAATAGCTCGAATCGGTTAATTAATTTGATAACAACTGTCAATTTGAGCTACGGACACCTTATTAAGATAGTTATTTATAACAAAAAGTTGTGAGTTAAAATACTCATTCACACATGCTGTATTAAACAAATTTGTTTGATCGTAACTAGGACGACAAGACCAATAGTTTATTTGACACATGTCAAATGCATTTTGTTAAAAAAATAACCAAGATTCTTAGTGTTTTGTGTATATAACATTTATATTAATGTAATCTTACATCAATAGAGTGGTGTAACGCCCGACTAGAATGAACCGATACCACATCCGAATGAGAGGGATCCTAATACCATAGAAAAGTATGGTTAAAAAAACTCAAAAGAAATAATAGTTACTACCTATACTACAAGGTGCACCTCCCTTTTCGGTAACTCAATCGAGGTGACCTCCTAGTTGCTTTACTAGGAAGCATGTGAGTAAGGACAAAGAATGCTGAAAGGACTGGTCTGTAGGGATAGTCTACGCTTTTCTAAGTAGCTCAGAACTAGACGGTGACGCGGTCGGGTCACAGGGGATGCAGGGGAATGCCAGGGCAGAGAGGTGCCAAATCCGGGTTCCGAATCTTGGGCTCGGGGCGTTACAAGTGGTTATTTGATCATTTCACCAATTATATTAACATGCTTATTCAAACACAACAATTTTTTTGATATCCATGTGTTCAGACCAGCTTGCGCGCAGGTAACTCATAGGATATCAAATCGTAAGTAGGTGGCCACCATGTCTAAGTCCTTTGCTATTTAGATTCGTCATTATTGACCACTAGACTATCCCATGATGATTATGCTCTCTACTTATATGCACAACTTATTTATGTTGTTACCAATTCAAGCAACTAAATAAATATTTATATCTTTACAAAGTTATTCGTTAAAAAAACCAGTTCGATCTTGTAATGAAATATTATAGGATAGTATTTTCCATAAACAAACCATTTCGAGTTAGAAACATCATGTTAGATCATATAAAATGAGTAGATCTTTTTATTTTATGAGTAGATGATAGGTTTATTATAAATTAAATATAGATTAGGTTAGAGTATTTTATCACATTATTGATCCATCGTACCATTATAAAAAAGAGAAATAAATATTCAAATTTTTTGGAAAATAATAATAAAATTTGATTAAAAAAGTGTAATTCACACAAAGAGGAAATTCAAAATCTTAAAACGAAAATTAAAATAACCCAATTCCCAAACCCTATAATTTAGAGCATTCCCCCCAATACTTCTACTCGAGATTTTTATTTTCCATTTTTGGTCAACATTTTTTCTCGAATTTTGACGAACTCTTCAAACCAATTTTTTTTTTTTCAGCTTCCTCCACTTATCACCCTTCTGAGCTATCTTTTTGCTTGTGAATTAGGGAAATCCCCTGTCGACTCTGAAAAACCCACGACTTCTCCCTCCCCTTCTTGGTTTCAGTTTCTTTCCTTTCTTTTTCTTTGATTTTCTTCTGTTTTGTCATCCTCTCATCGTTTCGAAGGAACACGAAGACCTGGAAGAATCTGCAACGAGCCAGCAATCTTCTTCTCCAATGCTGTAATTTGCCCTCCCCGAGGTGATATTCGGGAAAGACAATCACAAAGAGTGGAGTTCTTGAATTAATGTATGCCAGGTACTCGAAATTTCTTATGGGTTTTTGTGGAAATCTAGATCCACCCTTTACATTAGCGACGTGGAATAACTGATTGGGATGTGGAACCCTAATGTTCATATGCCGTAAATTCCCAAACTGGGTGTTTCGTAAAATTATTTTGTCGTCTGACAATGATAGTTATGCCTACTAATATTGGGAGATAATTTTTTGAAGACTACTTCATTGAAAATTTGTTTTTGTCTACAATTCGTGTACTTAGTATTTTTAGAGCTTACATAGCTACGACGAACTGCAAGTTTTTTCGAACTTTTCTGCAGGGTAATGTAACAATATTCTTGTTACGGGATGAACAACGAGGGTTTTGAAGCACAGCTATTGGCCGACAAGTTATCCAAGCTCAATAATTCTCAGCAGAGCATTGAGTGTATCCTTTCTCTTGTTATTATGGTTTTTTGGCCTGTTGCTGCATTGCCCGTTCTATAACACATCTGCTCTTTACGTCCAGAGAAAATTTTTAGTATGTTTTTTAGCTGTATGTTTCTGGTGTTTCTAGTCATGGATCTTGTCATTTTCTAATTACGTATATTAGAACTTCTTGTTTGTAGGCACTTTGCTTAAACGTTTGTCTTGATTCTTAACATATTTTTTTTGGGTGGGGGGAATAGTTGAAGAATTTGTATTTGTGCCACTTATGATATTCAAACAAACAAAATTTAGTTTTTTTTCTTTTGGTAATTGAGGTATCGGGTTCCACTCTTTGGACTATGCTATGGTCCACTCCCTCTAATCCCGAGGAGGCTTCACCTACTCAAGGCTTGCTCTGGGAGACAACAAGGATTTTATGTTGTTTTTAACTCAGAGTTTGAACACAAGACCTTAGAGGATAGCTTGGTAAAATCCTAACAAGTCGGCATCGACACTCAGAGTAGGTTCCAACTTAACTTTTACGATGCTCCAATGCTTCAAACCCCCTTCAGATCAGGTTTAAGCATAGGCTCCAAACCTTGAGCAAACCAGTGCTCAGGTCCTCCTTACCTTTCACAGTTCATTTGTGTCCAAACTCTCAACCATTATGGTTCAGGTGAGCAATTACCTATTCATTCAATTTCCTAAACTCGTCCGATTGCTTGAAAGAGCACATTACATACATCTACATTGCAAGAAATGATGTGCCACTTACATCAATTGGTGTTAACAGTAGGGGTAAAAAATCAAAGATAATCATAATTCAAAATTTAGAGGCATAATTGAAACTTTTTAAAATTAAGAATCTAAGTAGACACAATGTTCAAAGTATAAGGATGGAATTAGTAATTTATCTAAAAAAAGGGACATCAATGTACTTAAAAAAACATCATGTCAATTCAAATGATGCATTACTTTTGAAGGTTCATCATATCTACCCACTCACTAAATATCAATGAACCTTCTTTTTGTATGTTTCTTTGATCAATATATTTTCAGTTTCTTATAAAAAGCAAAAATACTAAACATCAATGAACCTTCATGTTCATCAAAAAAAGGTTTGTTGTTCCTCCCTTTTTAAAATAGACACTCTATCCTCGTGTTAATATCAAATAAAGGTACAAGTTTAAGACCAAATTTACTTATTGTTTCTTATATGAAACAAAAAAAATCCAAATTGCTTTACATGAAAGTTTAGAAAGTGAAAAAGAAAGGCATATTACCTTGCACATCCAATGAAAATAAATTGAACCACAACATCTCTTTTCTCTTTATTATTTGTTTGGAAATAGTTGATTACTTAATTCTGCTTTTTTCTCACGAGCCTTAATTGGGTTAGAATTAGGATTAACAAGTTACTCATTGTGTATTGATTATAATTGCTATCTGGCCTTCTGAACTTGCTAACAATTCTACTGCAATCCATGTCATCACTAATGCTTGTTTTCTTTTACGGACTCTTGCATCATCATGATCATACTTCTTGTTTTTTCCAACCAAATTTAATCTATAATTAAGGAGAAAATCTCTCTTCTATTTCTTGTTATTGTTTTCATTTCCATTAGGTTAATTGATGCAACTAACTCTACTTAAGTTAGTTTAGTTTAGTTATTTCGGGCAGTTAGGCTTTTACTGTTGAATTACTATCCTTTTACCGTATGGCGGGAAAGAGGAACACTTCTCTAGGAGGAGATTCTTCACTCGTTGAAAAAGAGACGGAAGCTACTGCCGTCCTCTCTCCACGATCGTCAACCACTCGCTTATTGATGGGTGAAGGAGCTGTGGAAAATCTGCAGCGGAATGTAGTTGAGATTCGTAACATTTTGAATGTGTTGGTGGATAAAATCGATAACCTCCAACTACAACATGAACAACCAAGAAAGAAGAATGGGAAGGAAGTACAGGAGCAGGGAATTACAATTGGCCGTAATACGTATCCTCCAGCTCCAAGATTACTCCAAGATCCCCTCCCTATTCAAGAACCCCCACCCTATTCCAGGGAGACAACCTGATATCCCTCTCACTCCCGATCAAGATTTTCATGACAGGACACCAAGAGGACCTCAAGAACCTCAGTTTCCTCCTAAAAAATTCCAAGATTGGCAGCGGCATCATCCCAATCACCGTCGCTATAGTAGATTTCCTCAGTGACACGATTTTCCAATAGACTCTTCCAGTGATGAAGAGGATTATCCGTAGTGGAGACATGGCCAGCGACCGAATTACTGCAATCAACATCACCATTGCGAACAAAGTGACTACAAGATGAAGGTGGATATGCCCTATTTCGATGGGAAAATAGACATCAAAGGCTTTCTTGAATGGATCAAGAACGTAGAAAGTTTTTTCGAGTATATGGCAACGCCCGACTACAACAAAGTAAAACTTGTAGCTCTCAAGCTAAAGGGTGGTGCTTCAGCTTGGTGGGAGCAATTGGAAACCAACCGACACTGCTTTGGTAAGGCTCCTATTCATACATGGGAAAAAATGAAAAAAACTAATGAGAGCTAGATTCCTCCCTATTAATTTTGAACAGATCTTATACACCCAATATCAAAATTGTAAGCAAGGGACACGTTCTATTGCTGAGTATACCGAGGAATTCCATCGTTTGGGGGCAAGAACCAACCTTGGTGAGTCTGATCAATACCAAGTAGCTCGCTTTGTTAGTGGCCTTCGGGCGGATATTAAAGAAAAGCTTCAACTCCAGCCCATTGGGTATCTTGATGAGGCCATAGCCACTGTCATCACCGTCGAGGAACAGCAAGCTAATAGATTCGAGTTCCAATACCAACGACGATCTACCATCGATAATCAGGCTAGCTCTTCCAAAAAGGGTACTCCTTTCCTAGATAAAGCCGTACCCGGTACTACACCTATCTCCAAAGGTAAAATTTCTGATGAATCCAAACCATCAGAGAATACGGTTAAAAGAACAACCAATGCTTAAAGTAGGCCAACATTGGGGAAATGCTTTCGATGTGGTCAAGTAGGACACTTATCAAATGTGTGTCCCCAACGGAAAACAATCAATTTTTTTGGAAGATTCTCACGATCTTGGTGATTCTTGTGACCAAGAAGATGAACAAGAAATCATCTATCTAGAACCCGATGATGCTGAGCAAGTTTCTTGTGTCTTGGAACACATTCTCCTTACTCCTAAAACTCAACCGGCTCAACAAAGACACTCTCAGACAAGATGCACTGTCAACGGAAAGGTGTGTAACATCATCTGAAAATGTGGTATCAAGTAAGTTGGTCACAACCCTAAATCTTCAAGTATCCCCTAATCCTACACCTTACGAGGTAAGTTGGATCCGTAAAGGGGGTGAAGTCCTTGTGAATACAATATGTACTATTCTCCTCTCCATTGGGAATAGCTATAAAGATCAAATAACATGTGACGTTCTTGACATGGATGTTTGTCACGTACTATTGGGACGCCCATGGCAATTTGACACTCAAACTATTCACAAAGGTCGTGAAAATATATACGAATTCACTTGGATGGGCAAAACAGTGGTTCTTTTACCATTGTCAAACCATACATCGGTCAAGGACATGGATAAAGGAAATATATTTCACTTGTGCAGCACTAAGCAACTTGTGCTACAACACACAGACCCATTTAAGGCCTTGTTATCAAAAGTTTTGATGCTGCGGATGACCTGACACATACTGATATTCCCCCTGAAATTCACACACTCCTTGCTAAATTCCCTACAGTCCTAAAACCTCATGATTCATTACCACCACTACGCAATATCCAACATCATATTGATCTTATACCCGGAGCCACTTTACCTAACCTCCCACATTATCGTATGAGTCCTAAAGAATATAAAATCTTACATGATCAAATAACAAAATTACTCTCCAAAGGCCATATTCAACCTAGCCTCAGTCCATGTGCTGTCCCAGCACTTTTAACACCCAAAAGATGGGTCTTGGAGAATGTGTGGATAGTAGAGCTATCAATAAAATCATTGTGAAATACAGGTTCCCTACCCTAGAATCAATGATCTCCTGGACCAATTGGGTGGCGCCAATATTTTCTCTAAGGTCGATCTTCGTAGCGGCTATCATCAAATCCGAATAAGACCGGGAGATGAATGGAAGACTGCTTTCAAAACCAATGAAGGATTATTCGAATGGTTTTTTTTGTGAAAGAAACAATTTCATTGATATATGAAATTACAAAAGCCTCAAAGGAGGATTACATGAAGCACTTCCAATTGGCTAAAAGGGAAGTGTAGCTATAGTTGTGAAACATAGGGGAGGATTTACACCAAGTAATGACGGTGAGGACTATAGCTTCAAAAAATTTTTCGAAAGGGAGAGTTTTGTCGCTGAAGATGCGTTGGTTGCGCTCTCTCCAAGTGACCCAAAGGAAAGCCCGTATAAAATTATGCCAAAGAAGAGCTCTCTCTTTTCTAAATGGATGTCCGCTAAGAGTAGTTTCAATGAGGTGAGGGGGATCCGTTGGCAGAGCAATGTACCAACCAAAAGTGCTAAGGATGAGGTTCCAGAATTTGGTTGCAAAGCGGCAGGAGACGAAGAGGTGCTGTTGGGTCTCCAAGTTTGAATGACACATCACACACCAATGGGGGGAGAGAGACATATAAGGCAGTCTTCTTTGTAGTTTATCACCGGTGTTGATAGCACGGTGGCTAAGTTCCCAGAGGAAGAATTTCACCTTTTTAGGATATGAGTCCCTCCATATGCCTTCGTACAAACCTTTTGGAGAGCATGGCTGTGTAAGATCTTTAATAAGGGAGCGAGTGGTGTAGATGCCATTTGGTTCTAATTTCCAAGTTAAAATGTCCGTCTCATTGGATAGTTGAACCGAAGAAAGCTTGTGAGAGAGGGCTGCCCATTCAATAATTTCAGCATCTTTTAGGTTTCTTGTCAACCTCAAATTCCAGCAATTGTTGTCCACACACCAAAGATCCCGAACAA